GGCTCGCTGAGCTGCGCGCCGACGGTGCTCCAGAGGTCGTTCGCGCCGCTCATGCCTCGTCTCCCAGCAGCGGCAGCGGCGTGACCTGGGCCCGCCGGGCGGTGATGATGTCCAGCATCGAGTCGTAATCGCTGCGCTCGGCCAGGGCCTGCACGCCGGCCTCGATGGCTTCGATGAAGCCGCAGTGCTCGGTCAGCCGCACGGTCTCGATCGGCACGAGCTTGCGCTCGCGCACCCAGCGCGCCACCTCGGCCCAGCTGGCCTCGCCGGTGTGCCAGCTCTTGGCCTGCGCATTGGCCGCGGAGTTGCCGCTCGCGTCGGCGTCCACGACCTCGCTGTAGTTGGCCGCGCTCATCTTCTGGTACTCCTGCTGGTAGCTCGGATGCCGCCACCAGCCCGGCAGCGCATGGCCCTTAAGCAGGAAGATGACCGGGTGCACGTCGATCAACTCCAGGCAGGCCGCGAACAGCAGGGCCAGGTCGATGCAGGTGCCGGCACCGTCGGCCTTCACGCGCGAGGGCACGCGCAGGCGCTGGGAGTCCAGGTCGCCGCTGTAGCTGGGCGGCGGGTTGATGTAGCTCAGCCGCCAGTCGTGCAGCAGCGTCGCCCACAGGGCCTCGACCTGGCGGTCCACGCCGCGCAGGGCTTCTTCGTCGATGGCCTCCGGTGTTGCGGCTTCAGGCACGCACTGGTAGCCCTCGAAGCCGGCGCTCGGGTCGTCGCGCAGCACGCGGTTGTAGCGCTGCGCCTGGGCCACGGCGCTGCACCACGGCGGGGTCGCGCGGCAGCACGAAGGACGGCAGCCAGCGGCCGTCGCGACGGTTGTCTCGCCACTGGTCCACCGGCAGCAGGCGCAGGCGGTGGCTGTCGTGGTACAGCACATCGTCGCCCTGCGTCACGCGCACGCTCAAGGACGTGTTGATGGCCTCGTGCACCCGGCGCGCAACCTCGGCGGTGAGCGGCACGTGGATCTTGTCCGTCAGCCGCTCGCGTGGGTACTTCAGCTGCACACGCCGCTGGAAGCGCGCCACCTCGTCGCCCAGGTGCACGGCCACGTCGATGTCTAGCGGCGCGGCCTGCTCGGGCAGGTCGCAGGCCAGCACGAAGCGGCGGAACAGCGGCTGCGCGTTGTGCAGCACGGCGTAGTTCAGCTCGGGGTAGGGCTCGATCTCGCAGCGCACGTCGGCGGTCAGTGCACGGTCTTGCGCCCGTTCGCCGCGC